AAAAAAAAAAAAAAAAAAAAAAAAAAAAAAAAAAAAAAAAAACACATCATAGTAAAACCAATACCTTCTCAGCTTCGCATCGAAGCTAAAATTAAATAATAAAAATATGAAAGGGTGTTGGGTGCTTGTTTGAGTCACTTCTTTTGTTGTATTAATAATATTATTACTTGGGGTATGAGTACGAAGGTCTATAAGAAAGATAGAAAATGATAGAAAAATTAAGTGATCTTTATTTTTTTATATATGAGATTTATTGTGACTAATTGCCAATTCATTAATATCAATAATGACACGTGTTTTGACGGTTATCGATGATAGGTGGGATTGAGTTACCTTGAGTGTCTACCCAGAGTGGTATGGTGGCTATACATATGAACCTACAACCTAATTCCTGAAATAGACACATATCAAAGATATAACTCATAAAATTTAATTCTAAACCTTATATATTTTTGGTAAAATTATTAGTTTCCAACCTTGATATTTTCTCTGACACTTATAAATAAATAGATATTGTATTATTGTACAAATATAACTGTAAAGACGGCGGATCACTTTTCGCATATTATTAAGGTGTGGAATGATTGAGCGTAGTGACTGCCTCCGTGAATATCTGACCGCATCTAAGCAAGTGAGAACATTCTGACCACCATCAGAGTGACATCTGAGCCAGAATGCTCATTATTTTGGGCTTTTTATATTGATTTTGATAGTATTACAAAGGCATGTAGTGATCACTGACGCTACCATTATTTCTTTATTAATCGTAATATTACATGTTATTTATTACATTTTTATCAATAATGATCTACATTTCATAATGTTCAACCGTTTGTTCTATAAAATCTTACAGATTATTTATTACCTTATGTCTAACACATTACTACTATATATTGTTTATTATTTCCTGTTTGTTTTATATAATTAATATATGTTTTTTTCTACGAAATTTCATTAGTATATTTAAACAATTAAAAGGTATAAATATATATCTTATTTTGATTGGTATTTTATGTGATTGAAGTCTTAAATAATACATTATGATATACTGTGTATACATGACACTATGAAATCTAGATATGAAATTTTTAGTGCAATAATTTATTTTATATCATTGGCTACTTTATTAACATTAGATTAGTATATTAAAATTATAAAACTTTGTTAAAATAATGAAGACATAATAAATATATATAATAAGAGTCATCTGATTTCATTTGTACAAAATATTGTTAGTAGTCAAAGTAGAAGAAGAATTTTATTTATAATAACTAGAAATAAAGATAAAAATGTTTAGAAACTCTAAAATTTAAAGGAATTGTTAATTTTGTTCATGTTCTTTATAAAAATTAATTCATCTACGTTCTTTATTTTTTAAAGAAAGCAGTTTTTAGTTTGTTCCTACAAAAACAACTCGTTAAAAAATCGGTTCTTATTATAACAAACTACTTCCTAACATTACTTCAAATGTATATTGAATTAAGCAATTAATCCAGAATTATTCGTGGATATTATAAATAAACTTATACTATAAAAACAGAAATTATTTTACAATAACCACATTTTTATAAATTTAAAAACAAACCTTATAAAAATAACTATTGCACCAAAAGTAGACTTATGGATTATAATTAAAAATCTAAAAAAAAATTCTAAAATTAATCAAACGATAATAGTTTTTCATAAGTTTTGCTAGAAATATAAAATTCTGTAATGGTAATTTAATTTTTCTTCAATGAGCTATTTTATAATGTGTATTGTAATATAATGAATACAAACACATATAGGTGTTCAGTAAATAAGGTAACCGGTTTCTGTTGTTCTCATTTTTTGTAACAATTGACCTGTAATTCAAATGTATAAGAAATAAATATTTTTACCGATATAATAACAGTTTTTTTATATTTCAGGAAACATATGCACAAGCTGCGTTAACAACCACTCAAATGATATGGCGATGAGATGAAATCCAATGATCGATGGCCGTCGCTGTGGTTATGCACATTATTATGGTTTCAAACATTTTCTGTCAGCCAATTTCAAAATATAGTTACTACGTGCCCTAGCCAAATACCAGACCAATCATGCTGGTGTCACGATGTAGAAGACGGGATATCACTCGACTGTCCTGGAGTTTCCGGAACAAGTGTTTACACTGCTTTAGCCTCTGTAAATGGGCCAATTCAATCACTTAACATTTATGACCTCGATTCTTCTGCTTTATCTTTATCATTAGCTTTTTTTCCTCTAAATATCACATTAAAAGAACTTCAAATATCTCATTCAAATATATCAATTATTACTGAAAATGGGCTATTCAACATAAAAAACTTGGAATCTTTTTCAATGATTTCTGGCAAGCTCAAAGAAATACCCCAAAAAGCTTTCATGGGGTTAACATCGTTAAAGATAATTGATATCGAATCTAATGAAATAAGCGAGCTGGGAAGCTACACTTTTACTGGTTTGAATTTGGTTAAAATAAATTTGAAAGGAAACTCAATAGTTAAAATTTCAGAATATGCATTTGCTGGATTAGAAAATAGCCTATCAGAATTAGACTTATCAGAAAATAAAATAAAAACTTTTCCAACTTCAGCAGTACGACGGTTAGAAAGGTTGATTTCATTGAGGCTTTCTTGGAACGAGATAACATCAATACACGATGATCGCTTTTCTTTTATGAAGAATCTAGTACAGTTGGATCTAAGTTCTAATTACTTTGAATCAATTCCTGAAGATGCATTCCGTCTATTCCCAAAACTCGAAATGTTATCTCTTTATTACAATTCAATTGAAGGTATTCATAAAAGAGGATTTAGTAGTTTGACTCTCCTCGAATCACTTGATATAAGTCATAACAAAATTATTTATATGGATGCAAACACATTTAAGTACAATGTACGTCTCAAAAAAATTGATCTAAGTCATAATCATATTCATTATATAACTGGCTTATTTAAAAATTTACCAGAGCTTAAAGAAGTATTTTTATCCGAAAATAATATATTAGAAATTTCAAGTGATTCATTTACAAATTCAATAAAGATTTCTGTAATTTACATTTCCCAAAATGCTATAAAAAATATCGAACCTGGTTCTTTCAGTAGTTCTTTTGATTTAAATGAACTTTATTTAAGTGAAAACTACTTAAAAAGGATAGACAGTTTATCTTTTTCCAACTGTTACAATTTAACTTCTTTGAGTTTAGATAGCAATTTAATTCACAGCATTAATATTGATGCATTTCAAAATAATGTTCACTTAAAAGAACTTCGACTACAAAACAATAAAATATCAACTATAAAAAAAATGCATTTTGAGAAATTACCAAATTTACTAGGATTATATTTACAAAATAACATAATTTCTGAAATAGAAAATGGAGCATTTTTTCATTTGAAAAATCTTCAACATATAAATTTACAAGGTAATCATCTTAAGCATTTGGATGATATATTTTCACAAAACCAATCATTAGTATCAATACACATTGATTCAAACGCACTAACTAGNGTATCAATACATATTGATTCAAACGCACTAACTAGTATACATAATAGATCCTTCCAAGGCCAAACTAATTTAAAAATAATTTGGTTGGGTCATAACAAATTAAAAAAACTAGATAAAACTCTTTTTGTGGACATTAATCATACTCAAAGAATTTATTTTAATAATAATTCTATCGAATATATTGAATTAGGTTCGTTCGAATCTATGCAAGCTTTGACATTTATGGACTTAAGTTTCAATCAGCTCAAAGAAATTTCATCAAAAATGTTTGCTGATCTTAGAGGTTTAGAAGAATTACATCTTGCCAATAACCACATATCTCACATACAACCGAATTCATTTGCAGCACTCAAAAGATTAACTATATTAGATTTATCAGATAATCCATTAATACAACTTCATAAATACATGTTCCAAAAAGATTTACCGATTCAGCATTTATATCTGAATAACTGCTCGTTAAAAACAATAGACAACGGCTCATTTTCTAACCTGAATGATTTATCCGAACTCTACTTGAATAAAAATTTCTTAGCTGCTGAATCATTATTGCAAATTGACGTTCCTACTTTAACGACATTAGACGTATCATTTAATAATTTAATAGGACTTAATTCAACATTTTTAAAATATCTTCCAAATATTAAGCAAGTTAATCTGGATTACTGCAACTTGAATCAATTGTCGGGTTCAATTTTTAAGTTTAATCTTGAAATAAGCACTTTATCATTAAGACATAATAACTTTATAACGTTTCATCCTGATGTCTTCAAGAGTCCGAAACGATTGACTTCTTTGACATTAGATAACAATAATTTAGATGTAATGCCTTACTCTGCTTTAGCGGGCTGTGAAAATTTAGAAAAGTTATCACTTATTAAAAACAATTTAACAACATTAGACATGTCAAAACTAACAAGCATGAAAAATCTTAAATCTCTCGTAGCAAATTCAAACCGTGTTCAATCTATATCTGGATTTCCACCAACCTATTTCACAATGTTGACGGAATTAAATTTGGCCAATAATATGTTATCATCATTTCCTCTAAATATCTTTCAATCTCTCGAACGTCTTGACATTTCATACAACAATTTTAGACAAATTCCAGCATTAATAAAAAATTTGCGATTTTTAAACCTTACCCACAATCCAATTTTTCAAATACGTGATACAACCAAACAATATGTCAATGAAAAATCAAATATTGAAGAACTATATATGACCCAAACAAATTTAACAGTTTTAAGTAGTAAAGATTTTGAAAATTTTCGTGATCTACATAATTTACATTTAAGTAATAACCGTATATCAAAAATATCTCCTGGGACATTCAGCGTTCTAGAAAACTTATACACACTAGACTTAAGTCTAAATCGTTTGGAGTTGTTGCCTCAAGAAAGGTTACAGGGATTATTCCGTTTACGACTTCTAAATTTGTCACACAATTCAATCCGAGAAATTGATGACTTTTCCTCAGATTTAATATCACTTCAAATACTTGATATATCATACAACCAATTGTTAAAATTAAATAAAGGATTATTCAGAAACCTCGAAAGCTTATCTGAGTTATATTTGTATGGTAATTGGATATCTTCAATTTCACCAGATGCTTTTAGAGTTTTAAAAAAACTGAANTGATGCTTTTAGAGTTTTAAGAAAACTGAAGATATTGGACTTGGGAAAAAACGATTTTAGAAACTTTCCTTTAAATGCACTTAGGCCATTGGAAACTTACATAAAACATTTGCGAATAGAAGGTGTACTATATTTTCAAATAATTTTATATTCGTAATTTTTTTAATAATAAATGTACTATTAATAATATTTTATTTTAGGTAATCCTTTAAGTTGTGATTGTGATCAACAAGAGCTTTGGGAATGGATGAAAGATCATCGAAAACTAACTACTGATTTCCAATTAGAAGGTCTCACTTGCCAACATCCTTCAACACTTCAAGGCAAAATATTTGTTGATTTAGAGCCTCATCATTTTTGTGCTATTCCCGCTGTACATAGATTAGCCATTCAAGATATTCAGCCGGATTCAGTGTTTTTGTCATGGAAAAATGGAAACCGTTCAGGACTTCATGGCTATAAATTGGAATATTATTCGATTGAGGATCCACGATCTCCAGCAGCTATCATATCATCTGTCGCACTATCGCCAACTGTAAGTTTAAATTTTATTTTTACATATAACATCATTGTATAATTCTTTAAATTATATTTTTATCCACAGCATATGAGCAAATTCATTGATAAAGAAGCTCAAACAGCATTCATTGATAATTTAACACCAGAAACTAGGTACCTAATTTGTATTATTGGATTAGGAAATTGGATACCACAAAATACTTCTCATTTTTTACCTAGTGATACAGAAAGCAGCCGATGTGCTGAAATTAAAACATTAGACGGGGATTTAACATTTTTTTCAGATGAACAGTATATGAGTTCAATACTAACCAGAAGACTGGGGTTAATTATTGGAAGCTGTTTAGGTTGTGTGGTATTTATCGTATTAGTTTCTGTATTAGGTTATTTAAAAATTAAAAAGCAGCGAGAAGACTCAAAAAGAGAACAACCTTTACCTCCAGAATATTTGTCATACCGACATTTTTCGTTACATACTACCGATCCCCTGTCTGCTTCTGCTTTACACTCGTCTAACCCAATAACAACTGTAACATGAAAGTTATATTATAGTATAGAACATCCATACAAAAATATATTTATTTATTTATATAAATGTAAGGAAATATACAATATATTCCATTAACTATAGTTAGTGTAATCAATAATTACAAATTTAATTCTAAAATTAGTATTCAACTAATTTAGAATTATATCAAAATTAGTTGTAATCATATTAATCTTAACTCACAATTAAAAAAAAAGTGTAAATAGCAATAACAGTATAAATTTTTATTAAAAAACTGTATAGGGTAAAGTTTTTTTTTATTTATACAAAAACAATAATGCGTATTATACATTGTAAAATATATTTAAGTGTTGTAGAGAAATTACAGTCATTTCTTTTCTTATCCAAAATTCTTAGAAATTCGAAATATACTATTTTTTACTTAAAAATTAAATGTTTACAGTACTCTTTATTAATTAAATATACACTAGTATAAATAATTTATTTAAATTTAATTGAAATCAAAATCAGATTGTGTGTATATTAAAATAATTTTATTATATCCAAATATGTTGTAAATATTACTCAGAACAAATTTTCTTAATAGTTTAAATATTACATTGTATTCCTAAATAAAACAGACCGTTGCATATTTTGTAAGTTATTTTTTTTTAAACCAATAGTTGGTTAATAAATTTTTGTATATAATTGTATAATTTTTAAATCTATGTATTATTCCATCCCGCGTAATTAAACATTTAAAAGCTGATGATGCTACAATGTTCGTCATTTGAGAATGAAAAGATTACAATGCAAAACAATTGATTATTCTAGTAGACTGTTTTAAAAAAAAAAAATTATCATACAGTTATATGGAACTTTTAATTTTTATTTAAATTAATTCACTATATAATGAGTGTAACTACTTCGTTTAGGAGTTAAAACATTTGTAGTTACCTTTATAATGTTCCTTTAAAAAAAAATGTTCAAAAAATTGCGTTAGAACCCTTTTTATTCTAAGGTGACAATGTTGTACAGAGCTGAAGGTAATAATTTAAAATTATAAATATGTATCAAAAATAATTAATTTTATATTCAAGTATAAAATTATATGAATATTAATGGTATTAAACAATGAATTTCCTTGAAAAAATTATAACAATGAACGAATTTTTTAAAAATTAACAACAATTTTTTTATGATGTAATTAAACTCCACTTTTATATTTTAAAAATAAAAGACAACTTCATAATAATATAGGTTGAAGTAAAAATATAAAAATGGCATGTATTCGTAATGTGCTTTTTTAGATTTCTATGTTATAATAATGATAAAAATGTACCAAAAGTACTAAAATAAGTATCAACATTCCCAACATATTCACATTAAAAAAAATATTTTCTTTATAAATAATAATCCGAAAAATTTATTTTTCTATAAAAACTATAACACTAGACTCTTTTCAGTAAATTTGTTTCAAATAAACAGAATAAAACTAATATAATATGATTACTATTAAAATGTTCATATTAATTTAAAAATAGAGTAAAATTCCAGTAATTTGTAACATTAGGATAATGTTTTCTTAATTAGTTATATATTTGTAATATAAAAAAAAAATGTTAAGTTATCTTATTTCTATTATGATTTTTAAAGTAAACTAATTTTTTTTTTACTTCAAAACTTGTTGATTTATCAATTTTTTTATTTATTTATAGTATTATTACAATAATATTCTTAATTTAATATAAAAACATGATATTTCAAATTTATAAGTAGAAAATAATTTATTTAATTTATTGTTTCATTTTTTGTGAATTTAAAATGTATTTTCACATTTCTTTTTTCAGTCCACTAGTTCTTGTAATAAAATAATTTATTTTGTAAAAATTAACATCAAGTAGATATCATTATATATTTTTCAATAAAAAATAATTTAATGCCAATATTATTATGTGTAGCTATTAATTATTTATTTACTGATTGACTAAAGATTAATAAACTTTTGCTGCAATTGAATAATTTTTATACAAATAAGCAACATAAATTATCTATTAAAATTAATAAGGTTTATGTATGTATACTGAAAATTTTTTTATTAAAAATATGCTTTATAAAATCTTAAATGTAACCGAAATCATTAAAAAAAATTATTTAAAAAAATAATAATAATAACTATGATAATTATTATAATTGTTAAAATTTTAATAATTTTAATTAGTTAAAAATTTCACTGTTTCTTATGTATATGCTACATACGAATGAAAAATAATATTTTTAATGTATAATTTGAACATAAGTATAGAAATACATTTAGCGTTTACCTGTTTACCATTTAACTATTTACCAAAAATTTTTAAAAATCAGTCTTAACATTTATCCGTGTTGTTTGTTATGTTTTTGTTAAATAATAAATTTAAGTTATATAATTGTATTAAGTATAAAAAATATCAAAAAATAAAAATAAATGATTTTTATTATTATTACTTGATTTTCTTTTTTTAAAAACACATTTTCAATGAAACCCAGTGCCGTTTAATTGTTACTTTTCCGTAATGCAGAGGAATAAACTATAATAATAATAATAATAATACAAAATTAAGAGACTAAACTTTTACTTTTAGTACTTTTTTTATGTGTTCAATAGTTCCTCTTTATAGCGACAGAGAGAAAATCGAACTATTTATTTTAGTAACACGATGGGTAAATTGTACGTTATTTTTACTTTTTTGTTATTTATACAAAAATACCTACACACGTACAAGTAGTATTAGAATATTGCGGTACTTTCCGTAATCACCATTGGACAAGGTCGTTCAACTTTAGAAAACGTGAGCGAAATTAATTTTTCCTTACACAAGTTCGAAACATTACCCGGGTGGATTTACTTTTTAATAGAATATACTTTAAATTTAATTTTTATTTTCGCGCTTCAACATTAAATTGCCAAGTATTTTTATACTTTTTATTTTATCAATGAGTTTACATTCAATCGGTTAAAATGGGTACATCNCTACTTTTTATTTTATCAATGTGTTTACATTCAATCGGTTAAAATGGGTACATCATTTAAAATGTTTACTAAAACGCAATGGAAATGATGAATGATCATATTTACAATGAAAAAGTTAATAGAGTCCAAAGGCAATTACCCAAATTTATACTTTAGGTAGTCTCCAAGTTCACGTAGTATACTTTAATCCCGTTTTTAATATACAAACAATGATTTCTAATTTTATGTAAGAATAACGTAGTAAATACATTTTTTTATTCGAACTGTTTTGTAATAAAAAAATATCCAAAAATGAAATATTTAAAATTGTTAACTATTCTGACTACACCATTGAATAAAATGTGTCACCAGAATTTTGTAGTAGACAAAATGTGTCCAGTTCGTTAACGTTATTGATTTCAAAAAGAAACTTACTATTTGTTTNTATTGATTTCAAATAGAAACTTACTATTTGTTTAATACTAGGAGATATTCTCTTACAACAGCAATTTGAACGAAAACGTCTTGTGATGTCAGTGATCAATTTTCAAAATATTTTTTAACAATGTAAGAAATGATTCAAAAGCTCCATCGCATTTTACTAATAATAATTGTAGACCTTTTCTTCGAATTTCTCCAATATATTGACTTTATTCTTCAATTTTCTATTTGTATTTATTTTTGGTACATGAAAATTGTATATGAACCTTAAGTTTGCCAAATATTTTTAGATGCAAAGTTAAAAAAAATGTAACTTTCAAAAATGTTTAATTATATTTTATAGTTATACAATTACTAGTTCTATCAAATTTTTTTTTAATTTTATGTATGTATTTAGAAATTTATTAAAGTTCTTTCTTTATTTCTCTACTCCAGCAGTAAACTAATACATTTTTAAAAATGTTGTAAGACAAGAAATGTAACCAGGATTTTATTTTTGACCAATTAAATAAAAAATATCAATCTCTTCATACAGTTCAACTTGTTTGACTATCATGTATGTTGAAAAAAGTTCTAGGTTAAGAACCCAGACACCACGAATCACTCTTTAATTTATAGCAGAGTAAAAGTTAACTTTGAAATTTTCATAAAATAATAATTTTAAAAATGACATTAAAATATTTTTTTGTAAAAATGAACTTATATTATTAATTTACCTATTTCACACAGATTTATCTGACTACAGAAAAAACATTATATGTAACCTTAATCGCATAAATATCATTGATGCCTTTTACCAATCAAATATTTACTTTTATTATGAGATAGAAAGATTAATTTACCAAAATACTATTAATATTTGCTGAATAGTACCACAAGTACAATACGATTTTTAGTTATTTGTCAAACCAACTCAGTTAAAATTTTCCTCTGTTAAACATTTAATAATTTCTAAGATAATATTTTTTTTTATAACAATTCTACGTAGATGACTATTTCTCGGATCAGAGAATAATTCATGATAATATGAAAGGCGTTTTACACATGGAGTTCGACATACGGCATTTTCTCTATATTACAATAAAATCGATTATATTAAANCGACATACGGCATTTTCTCTATATTACAATAAAATCGATTATATTAAATGCAGATTTTATCACAGTATATTACCATTTTACACAATCTTCTTTCAACCGAATATATTATTGTAACCAATTCTTTCAATACCTTAAAAATACGCTTTAAAATATATTATTATTCAAAAATAAAATAGTATTACTATTTAGTATTACTTTTATTTTCGGCTTCTTCGTTAAAAGCTGTTACACGTATTATTCCCATATTAACTACAAACCGTTTTTCAAAATTCGTCATCGTTGGGCTGATTTTTATTTGCCTAGTAATTGCAAATCCGAATAAAAAGAATTTTTTTCATTGTATTTTTTGGATTGATAATATGGCTGTGGAAGTATAAACAAGGAGAAGCGAAAACATAAAAATTAGCCAGAACACTACTTTCAAATCTAAGAATACTTTAAAATCTATAAATAAAAAATTAATTTAATTCTTTTTAATTAAAAAAAAATTAATATACACTGTAATTTATTAAGAATACTACCTGCAATATTTTCGTTATACAATCATATTTTCATAAAACAGTAGTCATTAAAATTTAATTTATTTTTGTAAATCATAATAAATGTAAAATTTGTTGTAAGAAAAAATTATTTTTAAGGGTAACTTTCGAAAGTATAATAAAAACCTTCAATAATTGTTTTATTGTTTTTAATTTAAATTAATGACTGAAGATGAGGAATGGGTGCTGCTATTTTTTCACTAGACA